CCCACAGCCAAAGAGTGCTCTGGCCTGCGTATCTGTGCACTGATCTCAAAGAAAAGGGCCTGGTCCAGGACCATCTATGCAGCGTGGAAGACACCACAGTGTCCCTCAGCCATGGCCCGAGAATACATTCTTGGGACATGGCCCAGCTGGCTTCCGACAGGGTTAGGGGAAGAAGCTGCATGCTTCTTCCAACCCTACATTTAAATTTCCCAGGCCAAATTCTGCTTGCTTTGATATCCATCTTTTTTTCCCCAAGTTATACTGGCTGGTCAGCACTTCCCCCTGCTGCCATGATCTGGAAGAGAGTAGGAGGGCTTTTCCCCTCTGTCAATCACTGTCTCCAACCTGTGCAGTCTCCACTACCCTCCTCCCCCCTTTTGCTGGGTCCCAGTCCCAGGGTAGGGAAATCTGTCCCCAAGCACCAGGCTCAGCTTCATCCCCACCACCTCCAGTGTTTCCTGCAACCCTTCCCTCACTCTGGGGCGTGCCCAGGGCATCTACTTGTATCAATAGAACTTACACCCTTGTAGGAGAGACAAACAAGAAACATATAAACGAGCATAATGATGTATGCATTGATGTCCGCTGTCCTATATATGATGGAACACTAGATGCTACTAACACAAATAAAGCTATGAGGTAGAGTATTCAAGACAAGCTTTTCTGGCCCTGGCTGGGTAGCTCAGTCAGTTGGAGAGTGGTCCCAACACACCAAGGTTGCTGGTTCAATCCTCCATCAGGGCACATACAAGAATCAACCAATGAATGCATAAATAAGTAAAATAATAAATTGATTTTCCTCTCTCCCTCAAATCAATAAAATAAAAAAAATTTTAATGCCTTTCTGAGATGAGCAAAGACCTAAATGATGCAAGGGAACTGCAAGCACAAAGGCTCTGAGATAGAAACTGATTAGCGACTTCCGGAAAGATGGAGGAATAGGTGGACGCACTGTACCTCTTCGCACAACCAAGATTAGAACAACAACAATTTACAGATAGAATAACACCCAGAACTGATAGAGGATTTATGTGAATGGAAGTCGGACAGCCAAGAAGTTGAAATAGACCTGTACATCCAGACTGGTAGGAGGGGACGAGCTGGGCGGCGCGGGTCGGCGGCACGCGGAGGTCGGGCAAAACTTGGTGTGAAATCAGCGCGAAAGCCATCCAGCACGCAAGAACGCAGCGGTGGTCCCTGAGTATACAAGCTGAGGCTGGCGGACCCAGTGAAGCAGCAATTGTGGACCAGGGCAGAGCTCGCAGCCCAGGATCCCAGAGAAGGGACTGAGGTCCCAGGAGAACGAAACTACCGCCATTGTTCCCTCCCGTCCCCGCCCCCACATATAACATCACAATCTAGCGACTAGGGTGCCCAGCCCCGGTGAACACATAAGGCTCTGCCCCCCACTGTAACAAGAACGATCAGACTGGGAAAAAAAAAAGGAGAGGCAGGGAGAGACATGTTTCCAACAGAACAGATCAGTCCCCCAGGACTCATCCTTTTGAGCGACCAAGAAATAGCCAATCTATCAGATGCATAGTTCAAAACACTGGTGATCAGAAAGCTCACGGAATTGGTTGATTTTGGGTGCAAATTAGATGAAAAGATGCAGGTTACCATAAAAGAGATGCAGGAAGATACGCGGAGGAGAGCCAATAGTGAAAGGAAGGAATCTGAGTCTCAAAACAATACAGTGGACCAGAAGGAAGATAGAATCAACCAAGCAGGAAAGCATAATGAAATAAGAATTCAAAAAATCGAGGAAAAGCTTAAGAGCATCCAGGACACCTTTAAACGTTCCAACATCTGAATTATAGGGGTACCAGAACAGGAAGGAGAAAAGCAACAGATTGAAAATGTATTTGAACAAATAATAAAGGAGAACTTCCCCAATCTGGCAAAGGGAACAGTCCTCCAAGAAATCCAGGAAGCTCAGAGAGCCCCAAAGAAGTTGGACCCAAGAAGAAACACACCAAGGCACATCATAATTACATTAGCCAAGGTAAAAACGAAGGAGAGAATCCTAGAAGCAGCAAGAGATAAGGGGACAGTAACCTACAAAGGAGTTCCCATCAGACTGTCAGCTGATTTCTCCAAAGAGACCTTACAGGCAAGAAGGGGCTGGAAAGAAATATTCCAAGTCATGAAAGACAAGGACCTACATCCCAGATTGCTCTATCCAGCAAAGCTCTCATTTAGAATGGAAGGGAAGATAAAGTGCTTCTCAGATAAGGTCAAGTTAAAGGAGTTCATCATCACCAAGCCCTTATTTTATGAAATGCTAAAGGGACTTATCTAAGAAAAGAAGATAAAGAAAAAACATGTATAATAAAAGGACAGCAAACTCACAATTATGAACAACCACACCTAAAGCAAAACCAAAAGAAACTAAGTAAACAACTGGAACAGGAACAGAACCACAGAAATGGAGGTCACATGGAGGGTTAGCAACAGGGGGGGGTGGGAGGAGGAGAGGGGGGAAAAGGTATAGAGAATAAGTAGCATAGAATGTAGGTTGAAAATAGATAGGGGGAGGGCAAGAATAGTACAGGAAATGTAGAAGCTAAAGAACTCATAAGTATGACACATGGACATGAACTAAAGGGGGGGGAATGTGGGTAGGAGAGGGGGTACAGGGTGGAGGGGAGAAAAGGGGGAAAATGGGACAATTGTAATAGCATAATCAATAAAATATATTTAAAAAAAAAAGAAACTGATTAGCAGCCAAGGACTATGTTGTGTAGGATCTTGCAAGTCATGAAGACACAGGCCCTGGCTTTGGACTCAGGAAGGTGGCAGGGCAATAGCATGATCTGGAATCTGTAGATGGATCCCACTGGCTACTGTGTGAAGAATAGATTAGAGGGAAAGAGGGTAGATGCAGGGAGACCAAACTGATAAAGTATGAGCAGAGGGATTAGAGCACTAAAATCTGCCCAGATGGCTGGGCAGAGGGTGACACAAGAAAGGAATCATGAGAGATGAGGGAAAACTGCCCGGGAGAAGAGGTCAGAAGGCATCTTTAGGCAAAGGAAAGAGCAGGAGCAAAGACACAGGGGCATGGAAGGCCCTGGCATATTTGCAGAACTTTGGAGAGTAGACTGGTGAGGTTACAGAGAGGGATTCAGACACAAGACTGGAAGAGTAGGGGAGAGCTAGACTGCCAAGGGCTTCCAGGCATTTCATGTTACTAAAGTAAAACGTTGGTGCGGTGATGGGGACAGAGCCTGAGACAAAACTGGGTCCAGATTTCCCTTCATAGAGTTCGGATCTCTCATAGGAGTTTCTAAGAGGGCAGAAAGGACAGTTTCTTGCCCCTTTCACCTCTCCTCAGACCAGAAAAAAACACAGCCAACCCACAGTTCTGTGCTATTATTATCAAAGTGAAGCTGGGCACACCCACTTATACCTCAGGTACAGAAATCAAACCACAGAGAGCATCTGAGTGCAAAGTCAATCCCAGGAGAAATTGTCAAGTAGACATCTTGTGTTTCATACTTTCTCATTTCACTTCTGCAATCATCTCATAGTCCACCCCAGATTCCCAGACAGATGTACACTAAGCCTTAAAGAAAGTGTTAGTTGTGGATTAGTGAAGAGAATGGAAAAGGAGGAGGGCATTTCAGAAAGAGAGAACAATGTATGCAAATGCCAGGAACAAGAAAGCACCGTTGCTCATGGGCAGCCAAACCAAGGCTGGAAAGACTGGCTTAGCCTGGATTGTGAAATGCTTGGACACCGGGATAAGTTCTCAGTCATCAAAACAATTTACCCCTACATCAGATTCCCCAATTAAGTAGAGTAACCAAAAACTAAATGTGCAGTGCCTGCTTTTTGCCCATTTTGGATGCCAGGTTTGGCTGAATCAACAGGTGGAAGCCTATAGGAGAGCCTATTTAGGGAATAGCCTATTTAGGAGAGATTGCCTGTGCTAATTTCTATGAGAGGTCATCTCCATATTGATAGATTTACCTGAGATCAGAAAGTACTATCTCCCATAACATATTTTTGGGAGTGAAATGTGATGTGGCCTTTATTTCATAAAATTTGGATCAAACGCCAACGACTTGCAACATTTAGAGCTTTGCAGGTGGGGGATTCACCATGATTTTAAGTGCCCTGGATCCTTATGTCTTTCATCTTCGCTGAGGGTTTCCCACCCAAACCAGGAGTCAAACCAGTCTTTCCCCTGCATCAGTCACAGGTTGCTACAGGTCGCTTCTCAGGTCTCAACAAAAAGAAGATGCAGACTTCAGAAGCACTGCAAGTCAAGACAGGTTAGTGGAACTGGTTCCAAGGGCTTAAGAGGGCTTTATCCAAAAACTATTCAAAACACGTTATTCCATCTGAACTGGGACAACAGACACCAAGGAGAGAAGGGACTAGGTGGAATTTGTGCAACCTCAGCCTTGGTCGCTGGCTATACTTGCGTATGAAATGTTACTAACTCTTCAGTTCCCGTCTATCCCTCACCACTCCGCTAATCTCTTTTTTGCACACAATGTATCTTTATCCAGAGATGCAGGGAACCTGTGGAAGAGAATGAGGTATAATTTGTGATATAGAGATCATATTTTACATATGAACTTAAGCAATGAAATTTGTCTGTCATCGCCACCCCCTCCCCACCCAACTTAGGCTGGGTCAAGAAAAGAAAGCGCCAACGGCCCAGGACTTCTCAGAAAGAAGCCCACCGCCACCACTACCAGGAGTTTCTCTCCCTCACCTCCCTGCTCTGCTGCCCCCGCCTGCAATTTTTCCCTGTCAGCTGCACGCACCCCAGTGCCCCCACCCGAAAGCTACGCTTCACAGACATCCTTCCGGGCCCAGCAAAGTCTGGTGTGCCCAGCATCCGGAGAGGCAGTGGTGCTCGCTTTTATCGGAGAGAACAAAACTTGCCATTTCCGACAAGAAAGGAAACTTGCTCTAGCGTTCCGGGCTCTCAGGCGCACATCAGAGGGGGACGCTGGGAGGACGGTGAGGGCGCCAACCTTCGCAAACCCCGCCCCGCATGCCGGCCCCGCCCCCTCGCCTCCGGTGGGCACCGTCCCACCACCCCGGCTTGGTTCGTAGCGCTCGCTTCAAGCCCTGCTCCGGCACCCTACTGAGCCACTGCGGGGCAGGTGGCGGGAAGGCAGGCGTGCTTGGCGGAAGCTGACGCGGAACAGGCTCGGGTGTGTAGAGGCACCGCTCCAGCTCGCGCCACTGCCACCTCAGTTGAGGACCCACGAGGCCGCTGAGTCCTGCCTTCAGAACAATGGGACTCGGGACCCGAGGTAGCTGGGCCCTGTTCTTCGTGGGGGCGCTGCTCGTGCTGGCGCTGCTGAAAGTCGCCGTGGAAGGCGAAGACTCGGCGGGTGAGTGGCTGCGGGGGGGCGCCAGGCCGCGCTTTTAGAGGAGGCGCGCTGCCCAGCGGGAGTTTCCAAGTTGGGATGTGGTTGTGAGGAAAAGTTCTGCGTGTCTTATGCCAAACGCAGGGGTCCAAACTGGAGGTGACTGCACAGGGATTGGGGAAACTGAGGCTCCGGAGGGCCTGCCGCTTGCCCCCGGAGCCGCCTGCTGAGCAGATTGTCTGGTGCATCCCTTCCGTTTTTCTGCGAACGGAGGTAGCAAACCCGAAGGAGTGCGTATAACCTGTTGAGTCACCCGAAGGACGGACTTTCAGCAGAGGGCTCAAGTTAGTTGTACCAGTCTTCCCCTGGTGGTACTTTATTTGTTCCAACCTTTCCCTTTATCTAGTGCTTTCTTTTGTACTCAGGAGTAGGTGGGCTGGAAACATGTCTACCGGTTCCTGCGGAAACATGTCTACCAGTTCGTTGGGGAACTTTTCAGGAGTCTCCGTGGCGTTTTATCGTCTAATTGTGTAGTATCGAACAAATGATTTATAGTCTCATGGCCCCACACCTTTCAAGTTAAGACTTTGGGGCTAATGTGGCGGGTTTGGGAGCTTTTGGGAAGTGATGCACTCTGACCTCTCGGGCGCTGGTAAGGCTTATGCCCGGGTGGGAAGGGCGCCTCCTGCCCCTCGTGGGCCATAAACCAGCCAAGGCGTGCATCAGTGCATCAGCTGTGCAGCCTTAACATCCCTGCTGAGGATAGTCAGGACCCCATGACGTCGTCAGTGAGGGCAGAACTTTTCTTGCGGAAGGGGCTTTCCCTTTAGGCCTTGGAAAAGGCCAGAAAACTGGGATTTGCTGTGTAAATTACATTTTATTTGTAAACTATTCTAGAAGTCAGGGTAATGGTCAGTAAATTAAAATAAGTTGCTTTAACGGAGTCAGTATTTTAATGGATTTAAATTCTACCCACCTCCTTTGCATTTAGCCTGACATTAGTTTTATCTAGATAAAGAGGACACCTTGCAAAACCAGACGGTTCAGGCTCAACACCTGCTTTTGCTAGAATAATCTAAGTGAGACAATAACAACTTTTGTTTGTTTTGCTGATTTTTTTGTTTGTTTTGCCGACTTTTTTGTTTGCTTTGTTGAATTGTGCATGTGACAAACTGGCTTTGCAGATCTAATTTTGAGATAATTTAAGAAAAGGATCAGTAAGTCATGTTCATCATATTTTCAATATTATGAGATGTTTTATTGTAAAAGTAAACAATCTGGGATGAAACAGTATATCTTGGTGCTAATTTTATACTAATAATTTTATATTTGTTACTTTGTGAGAGAAATCTTTTTTGTTTCTCTAATGAATTGCTGATTAAAGAAACTGAGGGTCCTTGGTCTTTTTCTTTTGCCTTCACAACAGATATTTTTTATCCTATTTTAACATTCGCTGCTTATTCTGTTTATTACTCAAAGTCTCACAAGAGGTTAATGCTATTTGGAAAACTTGGAATGAGTGCTGAACCATACGAAGGCCTTTTTCAGGAACTAGTATAATCAACATAAACTGGAATCCATTTTTTACAGACAGTAATGTTGCCTTGAATCTAAAGAAAGGCTCTGTAGAGGATATCTCAAAAAAGAAATAAATGTTCTAGTCTTCATATAGTGTGTAATCTGATAAAGTGTCATTATGAAATACAGTGATAGAGCTAACTTGTACCACACATTTTTTTATGTACTTCACACTATGCTAATTGGGGTCCATACCATATCCAACACAATACTCACAGTATTATCCCCATTTTATAGATAAAACTGAGACTGAGAAGTTACCTAACTTATTCTGTGTTGTTTGTTTTACATGTTTGCTCTCAGAGATTGGAATCCAAACTCTCAGTTAACCATTTTGCCACATTAGGTGATATTGGTTTACCAAGATAATAATGCTTAAATCCACAATACAGCCCTGCCCAGAATATTGTGGGAGAGGATAAAAAACATTACTGAAATTCTTCTTTTAAAATATTCTTCATAGTCTTCTGCATGGCTTCATAAATATCCTCAGTTGGGGGTGGGGAGAGGATGAACAAGTTAGCAAACAGGATAGATTGTGGTAGTGCAATGAGAAACATTAAGGGAAGAGAGAAGATAGAGGCTATTACTAGGGCTCTTGGTGTCAAGTGACAGAAACCCACCCTGAGCAACCTTTAGGGAAAAAGGGGATTTTATTGACGCTTCAATGGAAAAGTCCAAGGACTTTAATGGAAAAGTCCAAGGAGTTCAAATAGGTTGTCAGGAGGAGATGGCCATTTCCACCTCTTTTGATCACGTGTATCAGTTCTCAGTCAAGTCCAAGCCGTAGTTGAACTGTTCTTAGACTGGTGGGGAGTGGGGTCATGGGGAGAACATGGCATTTCAAATAACAGGGACTTTCTAAAGTAAGACACAGGCTTCAAAAGCCACCATAATGCGTACCAAATTAGGAAATGAAATAAATCCATAGTGAGTCTGTGCCGCTTCATGAATTTAACTCTTTGTTTGTTTGTTTTGTTTTTGTTTTTTTTCCATTCAGTACATCATTCAATTGAATACTTGGTCTTTCTGTTAGGTAAAGCTTCGGACTTCTTGAACTTACTGTTGTCTCTTAGGTACAAAAACAGTGCCTGCCCACAGCAAATATTTCATGTATGTTTATTGAAAAAAGGAGAAAAATTAGCTAGAGAGATTCTGTCTTCTTTCTCAAGCAAAAAATAAAAAAATCGGTTGCCGGGAAATCATCCCCCATAAGAAGAGTGACAATAGCTGGGAGACAAATATGAGTTTCTTGCAGTAGTCCAGACCAAAGATGATGGCATGTGATGGTGGAGATTGAGTGGATGAATTCTATATCTATTCAGGGGGTGGAACTGAAGTCACTTGCTAATGGATTGGATGTTGGAGTGAGGAAGAGGGAGGTATTGAAGGATGACATCTTGGTTTGGGGGGTTGAACAACTGGTAATGCACCAACTGGGAAGACTGGGGGAGAACAGGTTTATAGTAGAAAATCAGCAGTCCCACTTTAGCATTCACATGCACAAGCTTTGGAATTAAACAGCTTGGTCCAAATCCAGACTCTGGTACTCACTTGCTGGGTGGCCTTCTCTGGGCCTCAGTTCCTGTTGCAATACAATATTCCTGTCTCAGAATTGTTGAGAGTGTTAGATGAGCTAATGCAAGTTACATGCTCCTTAGGAGGCTTGGCATGTTCTAAGCTTTTTATAACATTGGTATTTGTTTGATACCTACTGCTATATACATCTGTATAGTCTACTGACTTTGGTCTTTTTCTAGTTGAATCTTTACACCAGATCTTTTTGTGGATTATAGTTCCATCAAGAGGAAGAAATTTGCACATGTGATAAAGATCCTTCAAACTTGTTATTGCTTACCTTTTTTGTACTCTGGGGGGTTTTCTTTGAGGGAGGCTACTTTGTGAAAAGTATACAATAATGCACTTGCTCTCTTCCTGTGTGGTATATATATTTAATTTTCCATTACACAAAGACACAAGATTAATAAACCAGCAGAAAAAGTTGCTTACCTGGGACATAGAATCCCCCTAAACCTTTTCCAAATCTTTAAGGTGCTAATTAAAAATTGAGTCATACTGAGACGGCTTCCAATTAAAAATGAATTTGTCTTCTCTACATTTCTTCATGAAAAACCAATAATACAGTTCCAGATTTACTGACAGTATGTTTCATTGCAACACTGGCAAAAGTAGACATTAGAACTTGTGTAATAACCTACCCTCCCCATACCACCACAATATATTACCAGTGTTCTTAATTAAATATTAAGTGCCCATTAATCACAGGCTATTTATTTTTATAGGATCTCCAGGATGGAAATTTTCCACACTTCTCAAAAGCTCCACTACTAAGTCAACAGATGAGTTTAGAAAGGTTCAAGAAACGGATTTTTATCTATCTAGAACACATAAAGAACTATCAGCTGGGAAAGTATATACATGAAATCTGGTATACTGACCTGTTTCAACCACCATTTATTCATGAATCCCTACAGCCTGCCTCAAGGGCTGCCCTTAGTAGGCATCGATAAATGATAGTCCACTAGATGAATAGTCTTTTTCAGTCTAGCAAAGAGGTGAATAAATTCTAAAACTAAAAGCATATTAGAATTTCATACTGTGTGGGTTTATTGATTTGGGGTAGAGGAAGAGACAGACAGACAGACAACCTTGGCACATCAGGATGATGCGCTGACCAACTGAGCTACCCAGCTGGGGCCATATTGTGTTTTGAAGAACATTTTTAGTTGGGAAGGTTTTGCACTCTGCTTGCAGATGTGAAATATGAATACATAAGTCTGCTTGTTTTGCTGGTGAAACAAGTCACTTTAAGCTGGTCAGCCAGGGCAGCCTTAATTTGCCTTGACAGACTCTAAGTAGACTCTGCTTACATTTCAACCATCAGACTTCAGCACTGCCCTCCCCCGCCCATTCACCACCTACCATGCACATACACATCTTGCTTCCCTGTAGAAACAATTATTGATACATTTTCCCTGTGCTTTCAGTTTGGGAGAAATGGATTTCTTCCTTGGAATTCTGAGCTCACTAACATGGAAAGATAGATATAGGAACCAGGTTGATGTTGTAAATATCAGTAGTAAACCATCAGGGTGTGTTTTTTATAAGCAATATTTAAGTTATCTTTTTATTATCCTTATTCCTCAGAGTTGACTGAGGTAGAAACTAGAGAAAAAGTACACAGATCCTATCATTAGACCCATTTTCTTTAGCTTTATTAACAAATATTTATTGAGTGTCTAATGTGCCGCTGTGCTCTAGATACTAAGGATACAAAATGGACCAAGCCCTGGTTTCTTGGAGATTTCTTTTTTTGGTAGGAGGTGGAAGATGTTTTGTTTTGTTTTCATTGTGGGAAATATACATAAGATAATATTTATGATGTGAGCCATTTTTAAGTGCACAATTCAGTGGCATTAGGTACA